TTTTTTATACCAACTTTGTGCATCTGAATTTCATTAAACGTGAGTAGCATGTCTCTCAAATCGGGAACATCATTTAGACTAGCCCTGTACTTGGACCAAACATAGAATCGATGATAGATGAAGGGAGAAGCACATAATGTAGAACACCGTACTATACAGTCTTCTCCAACAGGAATCAAATCAAGGGCGATGAAGCAGGTGAGGCAAGTAATACGCATTGGGAAATAAGAACATAAATAACTCTACGGCACACACAACTTTCAACGTGTGACAAGGTTAACCCCGGAAAGCTGAAGTCAACCTATGTTCTTCTTTGGAGGCAAAGAGCTTTGTCTCTAAGCGAGACAGAACCAATTCTCAACGTAACTGGAAGAGAGTACTGGGGAGAATATCAGGGCTTCTAAAGAGACACGCGCAAACACAGAAATTGATATACAATTAAATCATACATACTGTCTGCATTCAGAGTCCAGATCTCTTTTCCCTGCCTAACGATCTCCTCTTCTGACCTCCTTTTGTCCTCAATATGAGTTTGGAGAGCTTCTTCCAATTCCCTCACAATAGAGCCACTCTCGTCATTGACTGGGCACACGTGAGCCGGTTTTGACTGGAAACAGAGAAAAAATGGGTCATTCTACAGACTAAGAATTCTCTGTAACATAATGAAGTTAATATTTAATCTGGAAAATCTGTTTCAACTTTGAACCATTACAGCAAACAAGAATTAAATTCAACACAGGAAACCAGGCCCAGGCGTCTAACCGGTAAGCTGACCATAATAAGGCGAGCTCGTGACATCATCCACCAGTCACACGGGGCTGGAGCCAGTACCCTGAGGACAACGAACCGTTGGTCTTTTCATGTTTTAACCACTTGGCGCGGCTGATAACCCGAGAGGATTTTCAAGAATTAAAACACTGAAGGCCAGTCTGCCTCATGTCACTTGCTGCCACATTGATGGAGACAAGCAATCATCTAAGAAATGTCTGCGAATTTCTACCAGACTGCGCAGGGCAACAACACGGAAGACAGCCATATTCCTCCGCAGATGGTTAGACAGCA